TTTATATATTCATGTGCAAAATAGTATTTTACTTCCTCATAAAATTCCTGTTCTTCTAAATCAATAGGTGCATTTTTGTTCCGGGCATTTTTATCAACCAATAGTATTGCCTGAAAAAAAATAGAGTAATTATTAGCATTTGCCTGAAAAGAAAATTAACATGTCACATACATATTGCTATTTGGTAATTAGCACGAGATATGTCTTCTTTTCAGCTAATGAGTTGTGAATTAATTATTTCTTTATTCTAAAATTATTACCATGCCAGATCATGCCGGTATCAGTGCATGTAGTGACTAGTTTATGAATGAAGTTTTGGACTAGATAAAATGCTGGCAAAAAATGGAAAAATACCTCCTCAAGTTTATTTATTTTTTGCGCCATAATATAGTAATGTCTAAGAAACTGTTTTTCCAGTTTGCTAAGGGTACGTTTTCATCCCAGTACCAATAGTAATTCATCTTCACCTTCAATTCCAAAATTTTGATTTTCCTCAGACTCCTTTATATTTTTCTTTGAATTACCAAACACTCATTCATTAATCTCCAGAAAATATTGAAGATGAGAAAATTGATTCCACACAGTAATTTGATTGGTTAGATTTGTGTAGAGATGTTGTCTTGACCGGACAAAAAGCAACAACATCCCACAAAGCCTTTCTATCAGATATTGCCAGGTCGCCCATGCTGGTCTGATATTTTGAATGGATTTGGTAATATGAAGAAGATAATGGAAAGAGATCAAAGCTGCCGGTAGTCGAGCGAATTCTCTTTGATAATATTCTCTTTCATAATGCACTACAAACTTGGAAAAAAGTCTTTTAATTTCCTTTAATTCATCAAAAGTAATCATCTTTTTTAAACAAAGTTTGCATGCATCAACAAGCTTTGTCCATTCTTTTAAATACCTGAAAAAAATAAAAGTTAGTCAGGCTAGAATAGAGAATTTCTAACCAAATACATGAGATTTTTACTAACTTTTTATTCAGATTTTCAGACAAAAGTGAAATTGAATACAATATAACCCAGTTTGTCCACTCCTCCACCTTAAAAGCATTAGAATATCAGAGTATATCAACCAACAGACGTCCAAACTTGTATGATATGTTTTTTCAATTTTTTCAATAATACTTTTGATTTGTTTCCAGTTATCATTAGAGATATTGAAATTGTCATCTAATTTAAGCAATGTTCCAGTTCAGTACCAGAATATTGCTGGAGCAATATTTTTGAAAAGACCATTATTACGACTGGAAATTTATATAATTTTCATAAGTTCCATAATTTCCATAATTTTATAACTTTCATAATTATAATAATTAAAATAATTACAGTAATTATCATCATTTACAACAATTATAATTATCATCATTTACATAGTATTTATTATTTATCAACTTATATAATTAATCATAAATATAATATTCATTAGTGGAAAATATTTATTATAAATAAAGTGCAATTGAAACTTTGAAAAAGACATCAATTGATCAATACAAAAATTTAGCTAGTCAATAAACTGTTCCTTGTTTATTGTTAATGAAATTTGTACATTTAATTGATTAAACAATAACTTATTAAAATACTTGCATTTATTATGCACTATTGAACAACCGTCAAAGTTGCTATAGAATATCAGTACTGTATTACTATAGGATTGTCCCACACTAAGTAGACATAACATCTATTAGTAATAGTGAGAGCCTATTTATAAGATAGAAGAAAATGCACTGCGTGATGATCCCAAAGTATACTAACTATGACGAGATCGAGTAATCATAAAATTACTGTCATCAGACGTTGGTTGAACACCTACGTCATGATTATACCTACCAGGAGCCTGATCGTGACAGCGTAAAGTAAAAGACAAAGTCTCATGAAATAAAAATGCTATTGTATCTAATTATCTAGTTTTGTAACAAAGCTGGTGTCTTTGATATATATTAATGCATCTGATCTTATATATAACCACAAGGTGAAGCAAATCACATCACATTATAATGGGGGAGTGATGTCATATAATAAATGTTTGAGAAACAACTAGATGTTTATTATATACTATAATAACATAATTACAAAGTTTTGGGGTGTAACCCGTGATAATGACAAGATCGACATATTCCTTCCCAATCTATTTTTGATTTACCCAACCAGCTGATTTTTCGCATCCGATCCACCATTGCACTACGATTCGTGGGGTATTCGATCCTCGGCCTTCAACCCTAGTCGAACACGCGCGTCAAATCTATAAAGAGTAAAATGTTAGTATTGCTTGCTTTACATAGATTAACAATAAAAATGAACTACTTACCGATGTTTCCTCGTCTCTTATCACTAACCTTTTCTGGCATCTCGTTTTGACTTTTTTTCGGCTTGGTAAGTCGGATCTGGGGAGGGTTTCAAATCTTGCGCATCGTTCAAGTCTTGATGAGGAATCGTTTCTACGATTGACCCATGTGTATCTTTCTCGATCCCATTCTCGAAATCATCGTAAACAGAACTAAAGTCCTGCTGTTGATGGAAGAAGGTACTGTGGACGAACTTTATTAACTTAATAATAAAGATTATAAAATCCATTGTGATTTCGACGACGGGCCGTCGCTGAAATTTTGGTCATATGGTTTCGATCATTACAATTCTCTTAATAAAGGGCAAGTATTTATAAATCCAAATACAAACCTCGTTGGATAAAGCTGAAGCTTGGATCGGTGAAAGCCCAGCACATTCATGCCAAAAAGGAAAGATAATTTCGTTATTAGTAGCAATAAGAATCTAAGATCCCGACAGGCGTGAATATTCATGCTTTGTTCATCCCTCTTAGTCTCTGCTCCTACACTTCTATTTAATCATAATAATCACATAATGCACCGATATAATATTATTAATAAAGTTCACCCAAATTTCCAGGTTGTATTTTGCCAATGTAAATGATTTGTACGATTTGACTGTTTGATCAAAAATCTGAAAAGTAGATTTTATAATAATAAGGTTATTTTTTTCATATCATAATCGAAGAATCAAAAAAATACTCCCTGCAGAAACAGAAAACAGTAGCGTCATAAAAATTTTGACACATGACTATAGATTATTTTACTACAGCCATAAGGGTATGTTGAGTATATTATAAAGTCAATGCACGGCCAGTGTTGAAGCGTATCCATCTGGTCGACCGCAATCATTCGCACAGGCTCCCGTATGCTGGTAATAACGCCTTGCTTATCCAGATGAATAACCTCAGTTTTTTCCCGACCTTCAACTTAATACCTAGCAGACGCTTGCGCAGGGGTTGTGCTTTTCATATTGATATGAAAACATCCGCAGAATACAAGCGAGTAACCTCAGTTTTTTCTGCTCGAGTAAACCAGTCCGTGCCGTGTTTTAGGCAAAACAGATGATCAATTAAAATAAAATTGATCGCACGTGATTCTTGTAACAAATATAATGACTCGACACAATTCAAAACTTTATCGAAAAATGACCCATAGTAAAACGCGTCGAGAGAAGCAAAGAAGTTATTTGTTGAATCACGCAGATCCTCGTCCGTTGAACTTTTTTTCGAGGTTCAAATATCGTAGTAGTTCAAATGCTTACCACGATTACGGATTACGGCTAAACCGGGCTTTGCAAGAAGCGCCAGATTCTAAGAAGTTATTAAATCTGAGAAGAAAATGGGATAATGACGAATATAGGGATGATTGGGCATGTTATAAAGATTCGCTAGAAGATAGAAAAGCCAATGTACGTAGTTGTTTTTTTTACTTGAGCTGATTAAACTGTTATAAAAGCAAAAATCTTTGAATATTAGCGGAAAGTAAAAAAACGAAAACGTGAAGCCCATATTTCTTTTCATGAGCAATTAGACGGCGGACTAGATGGTAAATCGGTAAGTTAGTTATTTCTATGAAATAATGCTAATAATAATATTTTCATTGGTTCAGAGACAGACCGGGGACACAACCAGCGACAATGATCGTGAACTCGTTAACAATGATGATACTTCTTTTGTGACTCAAACTGAAAGCACCTCTAGTGATAACGATGACGATAATTCCAATATTTCTTTGGTAGCTCAGACACAAACTGAAACTACAACCACTGATAACTATGATGATAGCAAAAAGTTCGTGTCTTCGCTAGCACCGCAGATTGAAATCGTGTTGGGAGACTTTATAAGTAACGAAGAGAGGTACTGTAATTATTTATGCTAATAACTACGAAACAATAATTCTCACAATCGTTCAAATAGGTCGAATGATGAATTAGATGCGTACGTTAATGAAACCATCCGGGATGGAAATAAATGGATTGTGTGCGACACCGATGTACGTGACCTCTTGGTAAAATGGAAACAGGAGAAACCGCGACCACGTACTGAGTAAGAAATTTTGTAACAACGCTTTTCTATTCGGCACGTGATAAATCCGAAACACACATAATGTATTATTGTTATCGGAAAATTTTAGTCTGGCATTTTATGATATCATCGACATCACTCCGGGTTCAAATAGTGATTTTGTTCAATCACTACCAAATGATGCAGTGCAAGATATGAAACAGTCAAAAAGGTTTCCCACACCGAATGTGGATGAAATGAAAAACTATATTATTGATTTTATTAAGGTATCATTGTTTTCGTTATTTTTAATGCAAATATTTTGTTGCTTTACACTTAAAGTCTCATTATTTAGACAAATGAATTCCGTAATTTCGTGGACGAGAGTTATTTGAAAACACGAGTCAATAATAAAACAAAATTCGTATGGGACTATCTGAACATTCTGTAAGAATCAAGGATCATTTTAATAAATATGTTTCTTCGACTTTTCTCATGCCCAATTTTTTTCTTTTTCTTAGCGTCGAGTCGTTTGAACGAGACAACGACCTCACAAATTACAATTTGTCCGAATTTGGATATCGCGAAATATTTTTTACCCCTCTGATCCGTAGTCTTTTTCGTGGCACACACCGGGAGATGAATATTTATTTGTAGGTATATTGCGTTTTAAATTTTTTGATATCATTTTTTTTCAACAAAATTGTAATGTACCGGATGTACCTTCACCTAGCGGTAATCGGAAAAAAAAAGATGGCGAAGACCGTAATGTTGGCCGCAAAATCGATATTATATGGTCTATGAAGCTAACCGATCTGGAATTCTCTATTGGAGAAATCAGTGGCCCACCGAACCAACTCGATCATTCACATTTCTTTAACGATAAGATTAAAATTGCGAAAATGTTAAAAGTTAGTATAAATAGGATTGTGAAGAAGTATGGTGGAACGGGCATGGATTTGAGTTTAGTAAAGTTGTATGGCCTACATGTATATTGTAAGTATTGCTAACTTTGAAAATTGTCAATATTATATATAAAACTGACATTCTCCTCTTACAGATAATGAAGTAATTGTGTACGAGATGTCGATTCCGTTTCGCGGATTGTACATTTTTTGTGAAGTTATGCGATCGAAATTGCCCACGAATGAAGTTGAGATTGGTTTGATATTACAATCTGTGTCGGTGTTCCTTAAATTCAAGGTTTGTTTTTACTGACGCACGCACGTTTATTAATTATAAATAAAGGGATCTTCTGCCTTTTTACAAACTTTCAATTGTTGTCATTAGGAATTGCTTGGAAAAAGTTTGGCCGACCTGAGAAAATATATTCAGGATGCGTGTACCCGTACACCCGATAATAATGAAAATGCACACCTGTTCATTACACTAACTGATTTGACGCCCGAAAAAAAGAAAGTACAACCAGTAAACGGAAAAAAAAGAAAGTGACCTTGACATTCTGTCAAAATGTTTTTAATAAATCATTTAATGAGAACGTTTTCTAATACTGCATAAATAATTTAAAATGTAATGACATTGTCAAATTGTAATGCGATCATATAAACGTTTTGGTATCTTGTTTATTGCGTTATACATAACTATTAAACTATTGATATTTACATAGTATGCATCAAAATAACGATAAAGATCGTGAAAATGGTTAATTTTAACTAAGTATCGTAATACTTCTATTTATAAATATATTTTTTTGACGACGGGCTGTCGCCGAAATTTTGATACTTAATACATTTTAAATAATTAATTAATTGGATATATACAAACTACTACTAAAACATGCAATCCGAGGTTGATTTACTAAAGCAACGAATTTCTGAACTTGAAGCCGAAAAGGCTGAGCTCGAAGCCAAGAATGCCGAGCTTTTAAAACAGGTTATGGAAGAGAATGCCAGGTGAGAAGCTGAGAATGTTGAGCTCAAATCATGTGACTGAAATTTTAGCGACGATCCATTGTCAAAATTCTGATACAATTCATTACTCGATTTAGCTCAATTATTTAATAAAGCAACAAATGCTGAATATTATGCTACAAAAGCTAATCAGAAAGAAATTTTATGCTGGATTAACTATGGAAAAGAATTCATAATTCAATATAATGATCTTATAAAAAATAGTAATGACAAAATTGATAAGAAAAAGACAAAAGATATAATTTATGATAAAATATTAGAGCATCTTACTATTATCCATGAAAAAAGATCCAAGAAAATGGGATTACAGCTTCCAGAAATCTTGCATAAAACTTTGTGTAAAAAAATTCAAAGGATTATAAAGACTTATAAATTATTCGAAAAAATAGGTATTGATAAAATTAAGTATCTTAAAGTATACAGTGCAAATTCTATTTCAGAATTAACAAATAATCAAATTCAAAAGATTATTGATAATATTTCTAATTATAATGAGTCTAATATAGAAAATCACATGAGTGAAATTTTGATGATAACCCATTGCCAAAATCATACAACTGAAATTATAAGTACTTTACCAGAAACTGAGGTAAGTGCATTTTTTAAAAAGTTATCACCAGAAAAATCATCAAAAATGATTTTAGAGGAATCAACCAAGACAAGTGCATCATTCAATTCAACTCATAATCATGTTTACTTTCATAATAAGATTATTTTGATCTATATAAAGTATTTATTTCTGAAAAATTTGATCATTATGAAATTATTAAGAGTTCATTATGTCCAATATATAAACTAAATCATGAAGATGAAAAAAGTGTAAAAGGTAGATATTGTTACTATTCTATCTTTCATCAACTATATCACATTATATTTTTAGCGCAGTAATATTTATTTAGACTTTTCTTTTATTTTTACTTTTCTATATTTCTTACATTTATCCAATAGCAATAATTTATATTTTTATCTAATTATTTTATATTATTATTGCATCATTTTAGTTTAGATTTCATCATCATTCAATTTACCAATCAATTTATACTATTATCATATTATTTTATATTTTAAATATTGTTACTATTCTACCTTTTATCAATATATCACATTATATTTTTAGCGCAGTAATATTTATTTAAACTTTTTCTTTTATTTTTACTTTTCTATATTTCTTATATTTTTTTATCCAATAGCAATA